TTGAAAAATGTGAAATTGTGTTTTGCGTGGTTTTTTAAAAATGAAATTTTCATTTGAAAAATTAAGAGTGTTACATCTTGATTCTCTCCCTACGATTGCCACACATATATATATATATATATATATATATATATATATATATATATATATATATATATATATATATATATATATATATATATATATATATATATCTTTATTATCTTATAAAACGAATCCCACTATTTCTAAAAATAGATTGAATAAAATAATAATATTTTTTAAGACGTACAAATCATTAAGCTAATTGTACAACTAATCACTAATAAAATAATATTAAAATTTAAACAAACTCCTATAAATCTTCTCTTCTAAAGTTTTGACCAGATCTTTTTTCATCCAAATAAATACTCAACACCCTATAATTTGGTCATTTCATGAATTTTCTTTATTTTTAATATGGCATGTTTCTTAAAAGAAACTAATGATTGAATTGAAAATAATCATTATCCATCGAAAAAAATTAATTGTCGAAACAAAATATTTGTCGTCCGCCGCTTTGCGCGAGTAAACGGCTAGTGTGTGTATATATATATATATATATATATATATATATATATATATATATATATATATATATATATATATATATATATATATATATATATATATATATATATATAAAACGTTAACTAAAGAAAAAAAATAGAAAAAGGCATACATTAATCTCAACAAAATAAAAACCTAAACCATAATCAATTGCAACCATAAATGAATAATTTCATATTCTTAATCAAATCATTTATAACGATTTTTATATAAATACAAATAATTCTTGTCATTATCCTTATTTCTTTACATACGAATAAGCTATGATTATTTTTAAATAAGAAAATTTACTACATATTATTCCAACTTGAAACATTCCATTTTCGCATTCTAATAGAATTCAATAAAAATTGTCGTTTATAAAATTCGAAGTAGAGATATATTACTTCTTATCCGAATTAATCATCATAAACATGGAGGAAAAATCAATACGACTTTCATAGATGTATAGAACGTCCGAATCCGACTTCATATGAAGAAGTTATCATTCTTTGAAGTTTCACGATTAAAATAACACGACTATGCACGTCAATAAATACGAATCAAATATAGATTACTTATTAGCCATATTGATTTAAATAAAAAGTTGTAGTATTCGTAAAATCGAGATTGTACTTGTAGAGAACGTCCAAATCTGATTTCGTATGAAAAAATTATGATTTTTCTAAGTTTCAGCGTAGTAGTGTGCGACATAGAAACCGAAATTAAGATAAGACGTTTGTTAGGAAATAAATCTAGACAAGAATTTTCTCGTCGATATGATTCCATCAATATAAATATAGTCCAAAACAGAATCCGTATGAAAAAATTATGAATTTTACACGGTCGTTACCAGTATTATCTTTGTTGACTGCTAAATTTAGGATCGAACGAGAATTAGCTGACGGAGTCCAAATGAAAGTTGTAGCGCTTGTTTATAGCTACCTGTAGATATAAGTAACGTTGAAAACGGAGATCGTATGAAAGAGTTATGATTTTAGAAGATCAATGATTTTACCTGACATGGGAGGCCCAAGAGTGAACACGTGTGTAACATCCAAAAACAAAGATAAAATTTTTCAATTTCAAAATCATCAATCCAATTGTAGTCACCAAAATCCATCACAAACAGTGTATAGTAAAATAGAAATAAACACGAAAGGAAATGGTATTTGAAAAAGGAAACGCTAATCATGTTAACAAGTATCAATCACGTGTATGGAATAATTCGAACAATAAATAAAACGATGTAAATGATATAATAATAAAAATAAAACAAAGGACCGATATTTCTTTGATAAGAAATTAAAAAGAAAAAAAAAAAAAAAAGGAATGCTCGCCTTTTTCATGACATTTCTTACTTTTGTGTTGAATTACAAGATGTGTATAAGTATCGAGAAAGTTGTAGATGTTCTAACAAACAAAAATACATAAGGGTGTTCATTTGGATGGATCCGTTTGATCCGATCCAATTAAGTAAATTCAAATTGATTTCGATTTTTAAAATATGGATCCGAATAGTTCAAACTAAAATCAAATTTGATCCGATCTAATTACAAATCGGTTGGATTGGTTTTTTTATTCGGTTTTCAAAAATCATAACATTTTAAAACGACGTATAATTATAATATAATACAGCTTTTACAGAAGAATTAAAACAAATTATCCATTGGTTGCAAATGGATCTTCAAGAAGAAGACTGATAAAGATGGTAATGTGGACACATTCGAAGCACAACTAGTTGCTAAGATAAAATATATTAGGATAATATTAGCCATAGCTAACTTTCATGATTATAAGTGTGTTCGGCAAAACTAGCTGGTAGCTGGTAGCTCGTAGTTTTGGAGCTTTTTTGTTGAAAGCTACTTCATGTAGCATTTGATTTTGGATCACGTTGTTTAGGCTAAAAGTTAAACGCTCATGTCGTCGAACGAGGCTTTTTCTTTTTAACTAGCATTTTCTTAAAAGCTAGAAGCTCCCAAAAGCTGTGTGTCGAACACGCCCTATGAAATTTGGCAAATGGATGTCAAAACTGTTTTCCTTAATGAGAAGTTGGCTGGGATGTTTACATGAACCATTCAGAGGGTTTTGTTGATGCAAAGTTTCATAATAGAGTTATAAGCTTGAGAAATCAATCTATGAATTGAAATAAACATCTCGCAGATGGAATCTTTGTTTCGACGAGAAAATCAAGGAGTTTGGTTTCTTTAGAAACGAAGATGAGTCATGTGTATATGTCAAAGCTAGTTTTAGCGTAGTTACATTCCTAGTATTGTATGTTGATGGCATACTTCTTATAGGAAATGACATTCCAACTTTGAAAGAGTTTAAATCTTGACCTGGAAAGTGTTTCGCTATAAAGGACTTAGGTGAGGCTACCTATATTCTAGGGATAAGAATTCTGAGGGATAAGAGTAAAAAACTAACTGGACTTAGTCAAAATACATATTTGGAAAAGGTGTTAAAACGTTTTAGTATAGAAAATTCCAAGAAATGAGAACTGCCCATCCAGAGTGATACCAAGATGAGTAAGACTCAGAGTCCGAGTACCGGTGCGGAAATAGCAGAAATAAGTAAGATTCCATATGCTTCCGCCGTTGGATCTATCATGTATACCATGGCATTTACTCGCCCTGAAGTGTCCTTTTCTTTGAGCACATATAAGATGTTGACATCAAATGAAAAATACATTCTAGTCATTCTGATTTTTACAGTTGCTAGTAAGTCCACTTTTAGTATATATGGTCTTTTGCTAGATGACTTTCATAGTAATTTACTTCTGAAGACGATGGAAGCTTTTATATGTATTCAAGGTTGGTTGAGGGCATCAAATGTATGTATTAACCTTGAACAGTTATTGAAAGATGTGTAAAAATGCAAAGGATGTAAATTACACATTTATTTATTATTTTATTGTATATTTTGCATAATATTAATAGTTCTACTTTAGTTTCAATTATGGAAATCAATCAACATTTGAAGGGAATAAGTAACTCCTTTTGTGATGTAATGATATTGATGTATTGTATATATTCTTCCATTTCTAGTTCATTTTTTTCCGGCTTTACCATTCCTACCTCTACTTCTAGAGATGGCAATGTCCTTCAAATTTTCAATTATCATAACCATTCCCAACATATTCATAATTATCGAATTTGAGAATCTGGTTGGGTTCTACCCAAGAAAAAACAATAAGCATCTAAAAAAACTATCAGTCTTGAAGAGACGACTATTATCAACTTAAATTCCCAAAAAAAAAAACATTTTTGTATAAGTCTATCACATATACATACCATGAATTGGGTCGTGGTCTATATGGCCATGATAGTGGACCGTGCACACCAGCCCACACCTTCATGGTGGGTCGTGGTTATGGTGTTTTGTAATGCCAATGACAATGACAACCTACAACGCCCAATCAAAACCCTTTGCTCTTTGACTCATGGCTTGAACATTCTAACGACTACTTTGAGCATTTTTTTAATTAAATTTTTACCATTATAAATGTCATTACAAACCACCTTATTTATCATACAATTCTTCTCTCCTTTTACTCACATCCACACATTTGTATCGTTAAATTTCAAAACCATGGTTCCCAAAAGTATGAATTGGTCGGAAGAGGAAGAAGAGACTAGCACAAGTGTTGGTTTCCAAAGACAGAGATTGTCAAACCTCTAGAGATTTTTAGGGGAAAGTTCGAAGCTTTTTCTATTTGATGGGTTATACAAGTCGAAATCCCGATGAAATATGTTCGAAGTGGCATGATATGAGGATAAAATGTTGTCAATTCAATAGAATTGAAAACATGGTAAACAATCAACACGAAGCTTTTATCAATGTGGTTAGTGTTGCCTTGCGTAAATATGAAAATCATAAACCTTTTCCACATCTCAAAACTTAGTTAAAGTTGAAGGATTGTCCAAAATGGAAAGAATAGTTTATTTATGTTTGAAATTTTTATGTTTGCCCAAAATAAACTAAGATTGTATAAAATTTTTATGTTTTCTTGCATTTTATTTTAAATTGTCGTTTTTTATTTTTGATTTAATTTTAATTACAAAAATGACATCGAGTGGTGTATCGGATATTTCATGGTTTTAATGGTAGGCCGTGGTGATAGTGGTAAGTGGTGAGTATAACGGATCAGCTAATAGAATAAATAGTCCAACTCCCAACAAGATACATAATCATTTATTCACTAAAGGGACAAACCTCTACATGTCAATGCATTTCAAATTCTAGCTCTGCCTTGACTTTTTTTTTTTAATATTTACAACCTAGATAAAAGACCCACAAAATGAAGCCAAGTAAATTGGAAGAGAAAGGGCTAAATGAGGATTAATCATATCGAATACCTTCCATAGTCGACCTCCTTGCAGAAGAAATCCCAAGGTGCTTCATGACTAAGCAACCACTAATCTATTTGCTATCTAGACCTCCATTTTCTCAACCTCCGATTCCAAGCCTTTATGTTGGTGGATTTTGGGCTTACTCACAGATCTACCAGATTTTTTATCATGTTTTTGCCTCCTCTTGTTGACTTTTGATGCTAATGTCTTCAATGGGATTGTGATGTCAAGAGGAAGTAAAACTTCCTGCAACTCATGCCATTCAAGATCTTCAAAATCCCCATCATCATAAACCACTCTATACCAATTCGATTCTTTGTCAAATTTGGTAACTTCCCCATTAAAGAACTTCTCCCCAAATAGCTTTTGAACTTTTCTACCTTCTAACCAGTCACCCAAAGACTCATTTGTTTTTGAATCAATGTCACAACAAACTTTGTAGGGAACCAGACTACCATTGACACTGGTACAAACAGGAGGCACCCCATTGATAACCAATGCAGGTTCACCAGGTATCTCATAGATTCCAGACATTGGAGAATCTGGGTTGTCTTCCTTGAGTGTCATCTCCATTTCAAAATGCATAACCTAGACTGGATATATCCTGCCAAATGAATAAAATGTATGAAAGATATGGCATCTGTTTGTTTTGAATTTAATGACAAGTGACACCACAAAATCAGATATATATCGTATTCAGAAGGTAGCAACTATGGCTTCCCAAAGATATCCACAGTAGTTTCTTATATCCATAGCTCAGTTAAACAAAGAAAGTGAGAAATGCACAATTTAAGCTATTAATTATCGCGTACGCTGCTATTAATCACGACGATCTATAAGATTGTTAGACAAAAACTTGATAAAAGCAATGAGCAAAAGAGGAAACTATACGCTGGTACACTATGTTTTTTAATGAATCATCACAATACCAATTTAACATATCGAAACAGGATGAACGATTCACAATTGATCAGATTTGATTGAGAACTGGAAATCTAATTCCTTGTTTCTGATCTTCAAATATCGATTACTATGAAATCCGAGTTTGCTTACCGGGAGAGCAAGCGGTTAGCCCAATCGAACTCTCGTATTGCCGATTGCCTGCACAAACCCTAACACCTCCTCGTTCCTTTTTAGCTTTGCTTATTATTTATTTTAATTTAATTTACGCTACTTAAAACACCCTTCTAGTTGATTTATTACTAGATTATAACCTGTCTTAAACGCGGTGAACGTATAAAAAGCTTACAAAAATGTCTACAGGTATTACATAATAATTATAAAAAAAAATTATAGTTATTAGTGTTATTGAAATGTGTAGAATGATCTCTTTGTATATAATATTTTTTGTTTTATTAGTTGAATGATCTTATTTATCATATATGGTTATGATATTGTTATATAAGTATAATTATTCTAATTAGACGTTCCTTCCATAATAATGATACTTAATTTAGTCTATATTAACAACCAATATACCGTTTTTCTCAATGAATTAAATATTGACAATTATTTTATTTATTCAAATAAAGTCATAAAGTACAATTTATGAAATGTTACATGTTATATGGATTTAATTTTAATATATCAACAATGAAAATTCTTTTCTAAATCATGATTGGTTTATTTTAAATTGATTATGAATATAAGTCCTAACTTTTATGTTTGTTCTTATTATTTGGTGTTCGCAAGAACTTTGCATTAGTCTTGACGCAACTCTGAATAATTTTAGTATATCATCAATGTAATTTAGTATATCTTTCAATTATATGAAATATCAAATAATGATATTTCATTACTATTGTGATAATTTAGTTTATATATTATATTTTTACTAATCTTAATGATCTTATTTTTTTCTAATAACCGTAGTGTTTTTACTAATTGTATTTATAAATCTCCTAATATATTATAAATTTTATCTTACTTTATAATTTTTCATAACTATACTATTTTCAAGATTTGCTGTCTTAATAGTTTTTTTTAGTCTATAATTTTATATTTCATTGTATAACATTATCGTTTGTATGTATTCTGAATTTTTATTTTAAAAATGCTTAATGTTTACATCTTGATATTTTTTTTAATAAACTCGTGTAATAATTATGGAATATATATATGTAGTTTGAGTTAGCATTTACTTCATTCACTAAATTAAATTCCTCATTAAATGGATATATTTTGGAAAATAATAATTATAATGTGGCAACATTATCTAAGACATAAATGCTTGATATACTTTTAGAGGGAAAAAATCGGGATCATTAAAAAGATTTATATAAAGAAAATACAAATTTAATTTGGATGAAATTACTGACGAAAATTATTTTGGAGGAAATTGTAATTTGTAAAGTATAATACTGTGACAAAATTCGAAATATGTATATTGTTCTGTAAATTTATAAATTTTATTGTTACTATATAAAGATAAAACAAAGTAGGTTGGTATGTTAAACAAAAAAAATTCAATGTATGTAACTAAAAAATGGAATTTGAAAATGAAAATTTAAAACTTAAAAGTATGAAGACACGTGATAAAAAATGTTTGAAAGAGCTCTTACCACATTTGACCAATTTGTTAGTGAGAAGATCGTAAATGGATCATTTGATAATGATCAACGAATTATTTCCTATATGAATAAAGGTGAATTCTAGAATTAGTGGATTCAAAATGTTTTAAGTAATGCTAAAATAAACATGTATATTGAAGTGTAGATGAACATGTCATTTTCATGCAAACGACATGTTTTATGGTATCATGTAGAAAAATACTTTAGAAAATAAAATTTTTTAAACGCATATACTTAACTTATATCCTGATCAACCAGGTTCATCAATCGTTTTTCCCTTAAATTTTCAATAATCACTTTCATGAGATTAGTCGACACAACTCGACTAAGAAAATCTGGAACAAAAATGAATAAATGGCGGTTGTATTATAGATGGGTAATACAATAAATACTTACGTGTAGATAATGTAGAATGTTAAAATAAAATTTTACCAAATGCAACACGAATGTCGATTACTGACTATCAAATCCTGGAAAGTTAAAAAAATCATAAGGACCCACCATAGTTGTCAACAAAATTGTTTCCATACTTGATTTCAAATGATGCATAAATAGATTATATATGTTTTAATAGTTTTTTTTAGTCTATAATTTTATATTTCATTGTATAACATTATCGTTTGTATGTATTCTGAATTTTTATTTTAAAAATGCTTAATGTTACATCTTGATATTTTTTTTAATAAACTCGTGTAATAATTATGGAATATATATGTAGTTTGAATTAACATTTACTTCATTCACTAAATTAAATTCCTCATTAAATGGATATATTTTGGAAAATAATAATTATAATGTGGCAACATTATCTAGGACATAAATGCTTGATATACTTTTAGAGGGAAAAAATCAGGATCATTAAAAAGATTTATATAAAGAAAATACAAATTTAATTTGGATGAAATTATGGATGAAATTACCGACGAAAATTATTTTGGATGGAATTGTAATTTGTAAAGTATAATACTATGACAAAATTCGAAATATGTATATTGTTCTGTAAATTTATAAATTTTATTGTTACTATATAAAGATAAAACAAAGTAGGTTGGTATATTAAACAAAAGAAAAATTCAATGTATGTAACTAAAAAATGGAATTTAAAGATGAAAATTTAAAACTTAAAAGTATGAAGACACGTGATAAAAAAATGTTTGAAAGAGCTCTTACCACATTTGACCAATTTGTTAGTGAGAAGATTGTAAATTAATCATTTGATAATGATCAACGAATTATTTCCTATATGAATAAAGGTGAATTCTAGAATTAGTGGATTCAAAATGTTTTAATTAATGCTAAAATAAACATGTATAGTGAAGTGTAGATGAACATGTCATTTTCATGCAAGCAACATGTTTTATGGTATCATGTAGAAAAATACTTTAGTAAATAAATTTTTTTAAACACATATACTTAACTTATATCCTGATCAACTAGGTTCACCAATCGTTTCTCCCTTAAATTTTCAATAATCACTTTCATGAGATTAGTCGACACAACCCGACTAAGAAAATCTGAAACAAAAATAAATAAATGGCAGTTGTATTATAGATGGGTAATACAATAAATATTTATGTGTAGATAATGTAGAATGTTAAAATAAAATTTTACCAAATGCAACACGAGTGTCGATTCCTGACTATCAAATCCTGGAAAGTTAAAAATGTTGGATTAGTGTCTAAGTCCATAACTATTTTGGTATGTACTTGACCCGATGGTGCATGGTCATTTTGGGTTGCCTTCACCAAAGCAACTTAATAGGATGAATTATGGAGAGAAAGGATTAAATATGATTTATTAATATATTATGAGAATAATATATTAAAGGAGAAATCATATTGTTTAATTAATATTAGTCAATAATTAATTGGTAATTAGTTTTGTGACTAAAAGAGATTAATTAAACTTAAGGGACTAGAATTGTAATTATAAGATAATTGCAATTTGGGCCATGGATTGCCTTGTATTAAGGAGTGGACGAATTCTATGGGGGAAGCCCATATGAAATCGTCCAAGGCCTTAAGGAAAGGGCTCCATGGGTTGCTTAGGGCTTAAGCATCCAATTTAGGGTTTCCTTGTTAGATAACCCTAATAGACTTACTATATATAAGACCCTTATGACCTAAAAACGTGGCTAATGATCTTTCTAGGGTTTCACACGTTTTTGGGCAGCCTCCATCCTCTCTCCTCTTCATCCTCTTGCTTATGGTGTTTGTGAACCATTAGAGGAGTGACACTTGTGACTCTAAGCCTTCCAAAGTCAATTCAAGGAGGAATTGAGATTGTTATTGCTACATAACAATCAAGGTAACATTATAAACTTATTCTTATGTTAATATGATTACTTGAATGCTAGAATTAGGGTTTATAGTCTTGGATAACTTGCATGTACAATAGAGAAACCTAGATCCAAGCTTTAGGGTTTGTATGAGCACATAAGATGTTCTTAGGACCAAAACCCATCAGTGGTATCAGAGCCTAGACTGGTTTCTATTGTATTGATGCTTGATGTAACTGAAAAACATGTTTTGGCCTCACTGTTCGACCTGACTCGGCGAGTCACTCTTGGACTCGGCGAGTTAGACCTACTCGGCGAGTTCCAGAGGGTGACTCGGCGAGTTGGTGCGTCAGACAGAGGTAATTTCAGGATTTTTTGCTGTTTATCTTTGAGATACTTGCCTTTATCATATTATATCAATATAAATCCAATTTTATGATATATATGACTATATTCTTGATCTAATTAAAGATAATTATGAATTAATAAAATATTTGTTTCCTTATGTGATAATTGATTGATTATTTTGATTAAATTGATAAATTGTTTTGCAAGAAATCATTAAATAAATCAAATAAGGATGATTATGTGACTAAATGTTAATTTAAATTATTTATTATTTGATCCTTGTTGTTATGAAAAGTTTCATATTTTCCCCTTTAGGTTTTATAGTTTAAATTTGAACCAAAAAGTTTTGTTGTTTTGAAATTTAAATAGTTGAAACC